AAACACACCAGGTACTTACCTGGTACACATCAGAAACACACCAAGTACTTACATGATACACATCAGAAGCACACCAGGTACTTGCAAGATACACATCAGAAACAAACCAAGTAATTACATGATACACATCAGAAACACACCAAGTAATTACATGATACACATAAGAAACACACCAGGTACTTACCTGGTACACATCAGAAACACACCAGGTACTTACATGATACACATTAGAAACACACCAGGTACTTACCAAGTACACATCAGAAACACACCAGGTACTTACCTGGTACACAACAGAAACACACCAAGTACTTACCTGGTACACATCAGAAACACACCAAGTACTTACCTGGTACACATCAGAAACACACCAGGTACTTATCTGATATCCATGAGAATAGTTATGAAGTGACTGAGTAACCCTCAAGTCACTGAATCTAACCTTTGATGCCAACTCTGACCTGCTGTCTCTTTTTTTTCTTGTAGGAGGCAGAAATCTACTTCAAGATCAACATCAATTGCATCGACCCTCTTGGCCGCACGGCTCTGCTTATTGCCATTGAGAACGAGAACCTGGAAATCATTGAGCTCCTGCTAAGCTTCAGCGTCTACGTTGGGGATGCCCTGCTGCATGCGATTCGCAAGGAAGTGGTGGGAGCTGTGGAGTTGCTGCTTAATCACAAGAAGCCCAGTGGGGGCATGCAGGTGAGAAAGAAAGTGAGAGGAATGGTTGAAGAATTGATTCAAACACGTTCAACTCTTATGGCACAATGCAGTAACCAGATGTGCTGCTAGAAGGTTTGATTTGTGAGGTATTTAGGTGCTGAGTTTATGTGTCTTCTTCTGTTATTCTTAGGATCTGTTTAGTTTAAGTTTTAGGAATTTGCTTATGTGTCTGTGTTGTGTTTAGAATGAGAATTTCTATCAACAGAATAACTCTCTTATATGAAATGTAGTATTTATTCACTTGAAATAATTTTGCATAAGACATATCCTTGTATATCATCTAAAATATATAATCTTTTATTATGTATAATCATAAAAAATATTTATCTGTTTTCATTGTTTCAAATTCAAAATATTTTGGTCATGTCCTAAAAGGATTTGTTGCGAGCATATGAATTGTGGTTCTGTGGAGAAGTTATAAACAATTAATGCCTACCTGTTATAGCTGTTTAAAGTTCGAAACACAATGAAAACAATAGGTTTCTATTGAAGGTAGTGTTTATTTAGTTTGAAGAAATACTTTAATTATTCAATTCAGTTTATTTATATAGCACCAAGTCACAACAGAAGTCATCTCAGGGCACTGAACAGAAACATTCATATACATAAAAAGTAATTTAACATTATTTATCTGAGGAGCAGACTGATGTGAGTTTAACTATCACAGAACTCTCATCTTGAGCAAACATGAAGGTGACATTGGACAGGAAAAAATTATTCATAAGGAAAAAACCTTTAGCCAAACCAGGCAGGACAAGCGGCCATCTGCTTCGACCGGCTGGGTTTGAGAGGAACAGATAAACAATGGCAAGTCGAGGATCACATGTTAAGATAGAAATGATATCAAATGAAAACTATTCATTTGTAAAAATTAATTCTAAGGAAATTGGGTAAATTTGTCTTCCCGTAGGCTAAGCCTATAGCAGTATAGTAAGCCAACCCTAACTAAAGGAATAATCAAAAAGGAAAGTCTTCAAAAATTCTTTATTAATCCCAAAGGGAAATTATTTGTTGTTGTAACTCATTATCCTCATTTCATTAAGATATGTTATAGATACTGACGGCTGTAGGCAGGAAGGATCTCTTGTAAAGGTCCATCCCACAGTAGATCCTAAGAAACTGGCTGCAGATGCCGTCCGATCTGTCCACCCAGACTCGGATGGCCTCTCGGTTCCCATGGACTGTAGGACTGCCCAAATGCCGGGCAGAACACCTCCCAGAACGATGGCCACTCCTCCCAGCAGTCTGCCAAGCTCCTCGTCACTGTGGACAGCCAACTGTAGGTGCCGAGGGACACTCCTGTCCTTTCGTTGTGATGAGCCGTGTTTCCTGCTAGTTCCACGATCTCAGTGGACAGGCACTCAAGCACAGCTGGCAAGGAGACGGAAATGCATCCACGGCACCTCCTTTTCAACTCATTTGAGATTTGGGGCTGTAGTTGAGCTTTTGAGATATTAATCAGCTGCTGCTGGTTGTAGAAAACTGGCTTGTTGCTATGGTTACGCATCATAACAAATGTCCAAAACAAAAAAAAAGTTTCAGTAAAAATCCTTCCAGCTGCACAGCATCTGATACCAGAGGAAACAATCATCCAAAAAATGTGATTTACATCCAGAAAAAGAGGAATTAAAGTTTCCAAAAGCAAAATCTCAGAATGAAAGTAACAGAGCTGCTCCAACATGCAGCCACCTTGAGCGGCACAATTCAATGCCCAGTCTTAAAACTGGACAATGTGTCAGCCTTACGGACAGAAACTGGAAGATGATTCCACAAGAGAGGAGCCTGATAACTGAAAGATATTCCTCCCATTCTGCTTTTGTATACTCTAGGAACCGCAAGTAAGCCTGCAGTCTCAGAGCAAAGTGCTCCACTTGGAAAATATGGAACAATAAGATCCCTAATATAAGATGGCGCTAGGTTGTTCAGGGCTTTGTAGGTTTTGTTATATGACCAGAATGATGTCCAGAATGACAAAGTTGTCAGTCAGGCCAAGGTCTGAATGGAGTTCTGGCATCTTAAAACAACTAAAATAATCATAAAGTTTAAAAAATCCATTGTACTTCATTGAAATACTATTTTATGTATTTACATTGGCATTAAACGTCACACAGATATTTACATAGAATTCTATGGGTATCTCAGTATTGAAAAATAAAGTTTATTTCTGGATTTTTGCAAGTGTAAGCAGTAGAGGCTGCAGCAGCTTGCTATAGCGCTTCTTAATCAAACTGGACACTTTTAGCAGGAAAATATTATACTTTTGCTGGTATGATTTAATGTGGTGTAGTGGCAACCCTTTTTTCTCTTCTCTTGGATTTGTTATTGTATTTGCAAGTTGATCAAAAATAAACTTTATTTATTCAAAGTGAGGTAGTTCAAAGAGATATCTACAACAAGTAGGATAGTATTCGTTCCTAACTTTTCCACAAATTGCTGCTTCAAAAGATTTGAGCTATTTATAACTAAGAAAGATGCTCAGCATCTACTGCTACAGACACTACCAAAACACTGGAGATCCTTTGGGTCCAATGAGTGATAAAAGTACTGTGTCAGCTAGAAAAGTCTTGTTACACGTTGCATATCTTACAAGAAGTATAAAGCTGCCTGGAGCTTTTTGTACTTTTCAAAATAACTGACCTAGTATAGTTGTCAACAACTAAAGCTGTCGCTTCACAAAAGCTGTCTTTTTAACTCGGCTTCTCTCTTTTGGAAACAAGCCTTACAGACTGAAACATGAGCAAGCTCCACCAGGAAGAAATGAGAACCAGTCTTTTAAAAATTATAACACTCTTTTTTTTATCTGGAAAAAAAAAAACTTGAAGCTCTTTCTGAAATCTGTCGGTCATAAATAAGCCACTTCTTGTAGCGAAAAAGAGCTGCCAGTTTGGAACGTAATTGCTATAATCAGAAAACGAAAGGGGGAAAAAAAATTTGTTGAGTTCTTTTCTTTTTATCTTTTCCTTGACACAAATGTACAAAATGCAGTGAAACAAAGTGACACAGAAGTGTTTCATTTAATAGCCTAAAATAGGAGCAAACATGTTTTTGGCTTCACTGAGCATTGATTATGGGAGATGGTACTTCTGCTATTGTCAAGTCCTAAAGAAGTAATAGTTAAATACTAAAATACAGTACAAAATAAAATACAAATACTATTGGAATATATTAAGAAAGGGATATAAGTTTGTGGTTGTTCTAGAAGTGGATAGCTGAGTCTTAGAAGCCCCATCTGAAGCCTTTGGATCTACCATCAATCAGCTGACACATTACCTCTTTAACTTAATGCCTTTGTAACACAGCATTTCTTGGTGTCACATGAGCAAGCTGTGAAAATCGATCACGCTGGTACAACCAAATCTCCCCAAGAGAGGTCTATTAATAAGATTAAAACGCTGTCTGGGAAAGTGCGTCCAATTTCTTTGCCAGCATATTTTCTGAGACTTATTAATAAAGATATTTGTTTTATGCTTCGCAGGAATTGTTTTCGACATTCATCTTTCTCTTTTCATGTGTGAATGATGTGTTTTGAATACGCTCACATGCGTTGTGGATCGTTTGTTTTTCCTCTGAGGACTGCATGGATTATCAGCATTTTAAACGGTGCAATGTATCATCCTGTGAGTATAGATAAACATCTGTCAGTGGCTCACTGGGGCTCACGGTGCTTCACATAATAAAAAAAACCTTGTGGGTGTTTTTAAATCTTTTTTTTTATATGGAAATAGTTACGTAAGGGTATCCTTCCTACATAGAAAAGAGGACGATGTAAAGTAAGCACAGTCATCCCTTTCAGACTCGAGCTGATTTCCGCAGTGTAATGAAAACCAAACTGCTGCGTGTCCCATTTTCTGCCAACTTCATCTAAATATTTGTGATGTTGTAGGATGACAAGGGAAAAGCAGCATGGGAGGCTGAAAGTAGAGCACCGTGAAAACAAAAGTAACGCGCACTGAGCCCTTGCAGATGTCATCGTCGCATGTTTAATCAGTGTGAGGAGAGTGGATACCTCGTAAAAATAACAAATATGCATAACATAGAAGTGGGTTGTAATTTCATACTTCCCCCCAACAATTTAAAAAAAATTCATCTACCAATTTTAAGTTCTTCTGGTTAATTTTTGGGCACGTGTGAAGGCAATTTATATACAGATTATTTGAAGTTCAGGCTCCTCCCACATTAAAACTGAGTATAGACTGCAGCATTCTGATCACCCTCCTCTGTGAATTGTGACTAATACCAGTGATGACTCTGTGCCACCTAATGGAGGGACGTCTCCTGCAGTAAGTATATCAGTAATTAGTGTCTACATTAGAAAATGAATTTTGGGTGCAATATGGATGATGAAACATTTCTGAGAGAATGAATCATTCCCCAAGACAATACCACGCTTTAAGTCCATAACATCTCAGGCAAAAAGTCTGGTTGTTCTTTTAAAATACTTTAATAAAGAGAAACTATTAGTGAGTCTGCAATATGTTTGTAACTATCTTAATGCATTCTTATCTTTACTCAGAAGATTATTTGGGATAAAAGTTAATCAGATGGAAATGTGCAGCCATCCATCCATCCATTTTCTTTACCCGCTTGTTCCATTTTGGGTCACGGGGGTCGCCGGTGCCCATGTCCAGCAATCACTGTGCGAGGGGCGGGGTACACCCTGGACGGGTCGCAAGTCCATCACAGGGCCACATAGAGACAAACGAGACAAACAACCATTCACTCTCTCACTCACACCTAGGGACAATTTAGAGTTACCAATCAGCCTAACATGCATGTTTTTGGTCTGTGGGAGGAAACTGGAGTACCCGGAGAAAACCCACGCATGTACGGAGAGAACATGCAAACTCCACCCAGAAAGGCCCCCGGACCGGGGTTTGAACCAGGGACCTGCTCGCTGGGAGGCAGCTGTATTCATACATATCTGCTTACAACAGACTCATGTTGCTGTTTAATACACCATGTTATATTACATTATTATTGTTTAGTGTATATGTTAGCTCCTTGTATGCTGTTTTTTTTAAATACTTTATATTTTTGCTATTTTTGGGTGTAACCTTGAGTACACAATTTAGTTCCACCTCATGTACCACATGTGATGCAAAGGACAAGAACCTTGAACCAAGCTGTGCCCTAAACCAAAGAACAACTTTCAGTTGAGGTAGACTCTCACTAAAAGTAACCAAAACCAAGAAGCATTTGCAGAGAAGGAGGTAAAATGAGGAACAGCTGTGCTGATTAAGAATCAAGAGCAGGTGGTGGGAAGCAGAACAAAAAATTAAAATAAATAAATAAACAGCAATTTAGTTTACATTAGTAAAACAAACAGACTGAACAAACAAGTCAAATAACAATAGTGCAAAGTCATAAGCAAATACTTATAAATAAACGACATATAAGTTCTGTTAAAATGAAATTATCTAAATCTATTGCAATATTTTATAGAGTTAGGGATCTATTGAATGAAAAGGCACTTTATTTGTTATATAATACAATTATTGTTCCACATTTGATTTATTGTATTAGTATTTGGGGAAAGGCATGTAAATCAATTACAAAGCCTATTTTTGTTTTGCAGAAAAGAGTTTTAAGAATTATTACTAGAAAACATTATCGGCATCCATCAAGTATATTATTTTATAATACCAAATTGCTGAAGTTCTATGATTTGGTGGATTATAATATATTGTCAGTGATGTATAGAGCGCACAATAATGTTTTGCCTTCGAAAATCCAGGTGTATATTGTTAAACGATTGAGTTGTTATAATCTTAAGGGAACAGACATGTTTGTGAAGCCCAAGTATAGAACTACTTTAAAAGGAAGGTCTACCATAATTCAAGGAGTTGGGTTATGGAATGAATTAGGAACTGATGTTAAAGAAGCTAAATCAATGCCTATATTCAAAAGAATGGTCAAGGATAAATTGTTGAAACAATATATTTGAAATGAGTTCAAACAGTAATTCATTGCGATTAAGGAAGTTAATGTGTTGTTTATCTCTTTTTTGTATTCAAAGGAAGTTGTTTGTTTAAATTGTTTATCATAAAATAAGGGGCAGATATGATAAGATTTTTTTCTTCATCTGCCACCTTTCATTTTATAATTTTATTTCTTTTGTTGTCTGTATGTTAATTGTTTTGTGGTTTTTTTATTATTATAAAATGAATAAAATAAATAAATAAATAAATAAATAAATAAATAAATACTTCATAAAATTACTGTTATTGAACTATAGTTTGTGTTTAATACATGAAAATAAAACTGTAGTTTTAAATTTTGAACATTTTCTCCTGTTGTCTGATAAATTACTTTAGTTGCTGAAAGATGTAAAGCCTCAATTGTTGCCAGTTGCCAGAGCAAAAATGTATTTGGTCGTGTGTATGTGTATGTGCATGTGCGTGTGTTTGTTTGTATCCTTAGCTAAATATATCAAGAATTATTTAACTAATTTTACTGAAACTTTCAGAAAGTGATAAATAAATGAACACCTATAACTGATAAACATGAAAAATGTATCTCATTCAAGACGACAAATAGTTTTGCTGTGGCCAGAAAAGCTATTTTTAACCAAAAACAGAAATGTCAATTTTACTTTGAGCTAAAATATTGTGTGGTAGTAGCTGAGATGAGTCACATATTTTATCTCTGAGAGCTGAGTGATTGCACACAATCTTTTTTTTATTATTATTATTTGCCAGTACCTACTGTATTGGAATCAATGCCATCTTTAAACTCATGCTTTTTAATGGAGTTTTCAGAAAGTAATACTTTCATGTACATCTACAAATTATACATTTTTGGACTCATTCCAAAATTGAGACGGCTGCTACAACGGTCTGACAAAAAAAACAAAAAAACAAACAAAAAAAACATAAATGGCTGCACATAACCAATTTTACAGATACTGATCCAAAATATGGACTTGTGGGTGATATGCATGGTCTCCAACATATGATCTGAATGCAACACGTAAAGATTTTGCTTAAAATTTTCACTTTCACTATTAGAATTTACCCCGTTCAACTGTTAGCAAAATATCTCCTGAATCCCTGACTGGATTTTAGTGAAACTTTTACATTTATTGGCTGCACATTGGGCAGCATGGTGGCGCAACTGGTAGAGCTGTAGTAAGAAAGTATTATATTTTGAGGCAAGAACAGCCTAAACAACTACCTCTTCTTGCCATCGGTCATGAGTCTGCCTCTGACTGACGTTTTACCTTGTCTTTTTTTTTTTTCTAACTTCCACAAAATCAGATTATAGGCCTTCAATAAAAGGAAGCCAGTTCACTCCTCTTCTTCCACAACCATATTCCCTCTGAGTGACAAGGAAACGGTTTAAAAAAAAACTCGGCTTCATTCAATAATTGTTGGCCATGTTTTCTGGTTTCTTTCTAAAATGTGTCAAATACAGATATTACAGCCTTACAGCTGCAAAATGTTGAAATGTTTTCTTGATCTTTCTTATTCTATGTATTGTAATTGTAAGAACTTTATTTTATATTATTGTAAAGAAATGTATCTTCAGTTGTGGATCCTTCAAGTCGGTGGTGTTTATTCAAACCAAGAACTGCAAAATATATAAAAAATAAAAATAAGAGCTTATGAAGAGTATAAACTGATATCACAGGTCCGGGCCAGAATGTCTTGCTTCAGCTACAGTGATGTCTTTGTGGGGCTGAAGGTTTAATGTTCTTGTTTCTCCAAAAGGTCCCTCCTATTTTATTGGATAAGCAGTTTTCTGACTTCACCCCTGACATCACTCCCATCATCCTCGCTGCGCACACCAACAACTATGAAATTATCAAGCTCCTGGTGCAGAAAGGTGTGTCTATGCCACAGCCACATGAGGTGAGCATACCAGATATCTCAGAGTGAAGATAAATACTCTATTTCTTACTTCTAATCATATATAAGGTTTGTTCTGCTGTTATGTTGAAATGTTTGAGTATTGCAGATGGTACAGTGCTCAGCTGATGTAATGAATTCATTTCATGATTCACGACTGAACACAGGGAGGCCTCATTAAAGCGTGTCTATGCATTGTTTGATGTTGCAGGTGCGCTGCAACTGTGTCGAGTGTGTGTCCAGCTCAGACGTGGACAGCTTGAGGCACTCGCGCTCTCGCCTCAACATCTACAAAGCACTGTCGAGCCCCTCGCTAATTGCGCTCTCCAGCGAGGACCCCTTCCTCACTGCATTCAGACTCAGCTGGGAGCTGCAGGAGCTCAGCAAGGTGAGGACAAGAGACTGAGAGGCTGGCTTTTAAATATAGACTTTAGAGACCATATAGTGTGTTTCTTTGAGTATACTTTCATAATCTATAATAAGGCAGGTTTTTGCAGCTTCATTTAAATTGAAGGTATAAATGAAATTTAATAAGGAAACAATATATATAAAATTGGAAAATACATGAAAAATTCTCAAAAACTCTGTGTTTGTTTCAAAGTAAATTATAACAGTGCCACAAGTCTCAGCCTAAATAATAAGCAGGTTTAAAGAGGTTGCTAACTAAAAAAGGTAACGTGACTTTTTTTTTTTGTGACATCATCAAGTCAAATATAGCAGATTTCCAAAAACAGCTCATTTCAGCGGATCACAAACCAAACAAACTCAATGGTTTTAGGAGGTTGTGTTGATCAGCAGCGCCTGTAAAAACAGGCCGAATTATAACGTTTACAGATTTGCACTTATTAGATAAGGAATAAAAATGTTATTATTTAAAAGAAATTATGATGTGATTTTTATCTGGGATTTTAAGTAACAGATCAGTTTATTAAATCAATGGACTTCTGGAGAGTGTAAATAAAAAACACATTTTTAGTATTTTATATCAATTTTAACTTGTGTGTGTTGGTTTATTGCTCACTGGCAGTCTAACACCTACTTAGTGAACAGGCTGATCACCTAAAATCTGTTTAGTAAAACTGTTTAACAATTGGAATCAACTGTCTGTTAGCAAAATATCTCATGAACTCCTATATGAATTTTTAAGAAACTCTTAGAAAGAATACACTGAATGTACAGCTGATTACTTTTGGAATCAACCACCACAACCCACTGAACCAAAACACAAAAATGTCTATAACTCAGTCAATTTCACTGATATTGAGCTGAAATTTGGTGTGGTAGTTGCTGGGAGTCATTCACAACACATCTCTGAGCTCTATCACATCTTGCACAACCTCACAATATCGCATGATGTTGTGCATAGGTCATTCACAAGATTTAACCAAAACTACCATTAATTGGTCCTTTCTCGGCATAGAAATATTTTACTTTTTAAACTTTTGCATGACGGGTGGTGGGCGTTGTACATTTCTTTATGTGGATCTAGACCTTTATTTCTGTTTGCACTCTTCTTGTGTTTTTCAGGTGGAGAATGAGTTTAAATCTGAGTATGAGGAGCTTTCTCAGCAGTGTAAACAGTTTGCTAAGGATCTCCTGGACCAGACGAGGAGCTCCAGAGAGCTCGAGATGATCCTCAACTACAGAGATGACGTCAACTTGTTGGAAGAGGAAGGCAACAACGACCTTGCAAGACTCAAACTAGCAATCAAGTACCATCAAAAAGAGGTAGGGTTCACAATTATTATTGAGATTATTAAGAGATAAAACGTCTCCATCTCCATCTTCTACCATATATTAGTCGGGTCACAGAGGCAACAGGTCCATGAGAGAGAACCAGACATCTCTCTCCCCAGCAACACTCTCTAGCTCCTCCTGGGGTATCTCAAGGTGTTCTCAGGCCAGAGGAGATACACAATCCCTCCAGCATGTTCTAGGTCTTCCCCGGGCCTCATACCAGTAGAATGTGCCTGGAAAACCTCAAAAGGAAGTTGTCCAGGAGGCATACTACTAATCAGATACCTGGAACACCTCAACTGACTCCTTCAATGCAAAGGAGCAGTAGCCCTATTCCGAGCTTCCCCCGGATCACAGAGCTCTTCACTCGATCTCTAAAGCTGAGCCCGGCCACCCTGCAAAGGAAGATCACTTCGACTGCTTGTATTCAGGATCTTGTTCTTTCGATCATGATCCAAACCTCATGACCACAGGTGAGGGTTGGAAAGTAGACAGACCAGTAAATTGAGAGCTTTGCCTCCTTCACCACAACTGACTGAAGCAACGCTTTCATTAATGAGGGCGAGGCCTCAATCTGTCAATCCATCTCCTGCGTCACCCTGATGTCACTTGAGAGTCAGTGACCTAAACAAAAGAGAGTCAAAGACCTAAACTCCTCCATCTGAGGCAAAAAACCCACTCGAGCTGGGGGTGGCATTCCACCCGTTTCCAGTCAAGAGCCATGGCCTTGGATTTAGAAGAGCTGACTCATCCCAACTGCTTCACACTCGGCTGCGAACCACTTAATGTAGATGTGTTCAAGTTTAATGCTGCAGTTACCGTATATAATCATTCGAGCATGCTCTAGGGAGCAAGACAAGGTACAAGAAAAACAAATGCTTGTTTGTACTATTTCATGGAGGATTATTTTATTAGTTTTTACTATAGACACTGAATTACACCTGCATATCTTTCTACATAACTGCGTAATTTTGCAATATTACAGTCAGGTTTTAAACTGTGCAATGGGAGACCATATCTTATTTGTATTTTATATCTTCTTTTGTTAGCCTCATGCTTGATACCTGATGGTACTTGTGTGCCTCAGGCAACTATCACCTTATGCTGTTTCAGGAACTTTGCCAAGCCCAAAATCCCAGCAACATTGTGCCAAGGTGTTTCTGCCAGCTGTAATGATGTCAGATTAGCATCACATTTAACATCCACATTTCAGAATAATTTTAGTCTGTTTTAATTTAAGCCGCACACATGACAATAGGCACAGAAAACATTACTTTTTATACTAACGTGTCTGTGACAAAGTAGATCTGTTTAAAACAATTTTGATTTTATTTTTCATTTTATAATATTGAAAAATTACAACAAACTGTAAAAAACTGGATATTATACAGCTTAAAATAAACTTTTATTATAGGGTCTTATAGACTAAAGTGAATTTTAAAACATTAATTGAAGAAAAAGTCAAGCGGGAAGAGAATCATTTTCTCACAGTTTTCATTTAACATCAAAACAATATATACAATATGTATACAGTATATTGTTTTTATTCAGTCAATGAACACTATTACAGTCGTCTTCCTTCCACTCAAACACCTAAACTTAAAAAAATGTGTCTACTCTTGACCCGTCCTTACCAGTGGAGGTGCAAAACAAACCCCCAGCTGGTTGAGGCAGATGTTCACCCTCAAGTCTGGTTTTGTTTTCCTTTCCTCTCTCTCCCTGATTCCTCCACATACACAACCCCCCCCCCCCCCCCCCCCCCCCTTACCTTTATTTTTTGCTGCATTCTTACAGGTTGATTGCTTATGTGTAAATAAGAGAATGCTCCCATGGTGCCCTTCTGCAAGAGCCATTGTTCCTCTGGATTTAATGGATGTTGGGGGGAGCACAGTTCTTAATGCACTTAAAAATGAATGGTTTAATGGTTGATTGGTTAAGGTTAAGGGCTAAAGAAAGAGGTTAAATGGTTATTTTAGTGCAAGGAAATGTTCTGTGGAACATAAATATAAAGTAGAAATGATAGAGAAGCTAACCCGTTAATCCCAGGAGCAACTTATATTTAATTTAGCTGTTCTTTGTCAGGAGCTCCTTCTGACTGTTAGAGCAGCTCTGGAGGAGTCTCAATTTATGTTTCTGCTGTTTCTGTCCATTTGCTTTGCATCATTAACACAGGCTGGCGGATGAACATTTTCAGAAAGATTGTAAAAGTGGACATAATGATGGATAGTCTGTGTCTGTCACACTCTGTAAACAAACACCCTTTTGGGTTCCTGGGACACCGTTCTGCCTCCAAGGCTCTTTTGTCTTCCTACCTCTGTTTTAATTATTCAGAAGATGTCCTTGATGATACTCCTCTGCATTCTTTGATTGCAAAGTAAAAATGGGGAAGTGTCAAGTTGGGGGGAAACAATTTGCCTAGACATCCTTTTAATATAATAATTGTTATCTGGCAAAGAAACACTTCAAGGTAATCAAATGAAAATTAAAATTTTGTTGTTTAAATTGCCAACTATCAAAAGGGAAAGAGACAATTTTAAACCCAAATTTAAAATGCTGTCACAACTTATCAAACTTAAATGACATAAACTGGCTATCTTTCAGTTAATTCTACAGATATTATGCTAAAATTAGGTGTGGCTGAAAGTCATCCATAACATACCGTATTTTGCGTCATACACGTCGCATCACCCTATAAGTCGCATCAGTCCAAATATGTCTAATAAAGTGGAAAATCCATAAATACTTTGCTTCACCATACACGTCACATCTATTATGTGTCACCACTGACAACCCAGAAATGTGGGCCAAATCCAGAACTGTGGGACGGTGTTGTGCCAAAAATCGATTGGTTGCCAAATGGCGGACACGGGATAGCGCACGGGAGGACTTTAATAAGAATTTTAAAAGACTAACACTTTAAAACATTTATTTGTTTATGCAAAATTATAGTAAAGTTGTGTCTCAGTCTAACTTTTGCTTAATAAAATGCACTTTGACCGTCAAATCAGTTGCATTTCAAAAGCTGATACAAAGAAATAGGCACGTACATGGGAGGATTTGCTGTGCATTTCTTTAATATTTAACATAACCACTTAAAAACAATTATTTGTTTGCTTGAAATTATAGTAAAGGTGTGTCTCAGTTGAACTTTTACTTAATAAATGCACTTTAATGGTCAAATCAGCTGCATGTTCAAAAGTATTCGCTGCCTCAGTGCTCTGGGAGCATGCAGAGGGAAGAAATCTTGAAAGAGGAACGCTGCACATTATTTCAAAATTTAACAAGATAAGCAACTAAAACAATTATTTGTTTGCTTGCCATTATAGCAAAGGTGTGTCTCAGTTGAACTTTGACCATTAAAGTGCATTTATTAAGTAAAATTAGCTGCATTTTGTCAGGGCGGTGCAGCAAAATGAATTTGATTTGACGGTTGCTCCAGGTGAGCTGGACAAAGGTAGCGGTCTGTGGCAAGCCGATCGTGTATAGCCACTTTCACCTATTACATGACACAAGGGCATGCCATACTAGATTGCCATCTGGCAGCTGAAAATGGTATTGTTTCATATTTTCAGTTAGAATGAATGAAAACAGTCATATCTCAGCCAAAAATTGATTTATACATATGAAAAAAAATCCATAAATACGTTGCTTTATCATATAAGTCCCCGGGCATGCAAATTATGCAATAAAACATGGCTTATAGGGCCAAAAATATGGTACTCCAAGTGCTACTCATAAAAAGCTACTAATCAATCTTCTTTTCAAAAAGGGAACTGGAGAGTGTGCTCCAATTACAGAAGCATCAATCAGCCTCCCTGGTCTATTCCGGTGTGCTGGAGAAGAACATATCATAGTTTGTTGAACCTTAGATTCAGAAGGAACTTTTGATCGGGGTTCCTGGTTGCGATGGCCAGCCCTTTGGCTGGGGTGGCTGCCGGGTTCTGGCAGGGGGTCGGCGGTGGTTGTGTGTGTGTGTGGTCGTTGGTAGTGCATGGCAGCGGTCGAGGGTGTGGCTTCACTTCGATGGGGTGCTGGCTGGTCGACCTGATGTGACATTCATGGTGGGGGGTGCTGTGTGGGGTGGGGGGGGGGGGGGGGGTGCATGAGTGGCATGCCGGGTCCTCTCCGGGCCTGTGGTGTGGGGCTTTAAGGATGCATTGGTGTGCTAGGCCGGCCTTCCTCAGCTGCTGCTCCCTGCTGCTCTGGCCCCCAACCTGGGGCCGGCTTGCGGTCACTGTTGGGTGGGTGGGGCGCATGGACGGCCCGACAGAGGCTCTGTCGGGCTGTCTCTGTGTGCCTGTTTGTCTCAGGTTGGGTTTTAGGTGGTCCTCTCTCTTGGATCAGTTTTGGCCCCCCATTTTGTGTGTTGTGCCCTCCTGCCGCCGGTGCATTGGCAGCTCTCAGCAGCTGGGGCTGAGTAGTGGGGTGTGTGCGGGCCTGCCCTGGTGGCTGCCTGCTGGGGCCTGGGTGCCCTGGCTCTGTCGGGCCTCTGTTGGGGGGTGGTATGACGTCGGGACTCGGGGCTTGGTGTCCATGGCCGGATCCACTCTGGAGGGGCGGGTTGCCGGCGGAGCCTGTTGATTCGTCACTAGGGCCTCCTGGGGTTTCTGCATTGTGGTTTCTGGGGATCGCCCGGGGCTTCACTTTGCTTCTCTCTCTGGGGGGTGCGGGTGTCCCTGTTGGGGGACTCCCGGAGTTCCGGGCTTGGGGGCCGCTGTGTGTCTGTGGTTCCGGTCTTCCCTGTGTTACCTTCGTGTCCTTTGGGGATGGGTTTATGGGTCCCCACATCCACTACTGAACTTTTTTATGGCGAAACCTTATAGTGATAAGCATGCTCACACAGATGTTTAGATTCAGGTGTTTATCAGATACATACTCAGTTGGGTTGTGGTGGCCATCAAATATATATTGTATTACCATTTACTGTATAAATTATTTTCCAATGATGTTATAAGTATCATTATATAAGTTGTTTGTTGTTGTCGTTTCTC